GATTTGCAAGATTGACATCAGCCTTCCCAGTTGTTCCTGACAGGAAAAAGACCAGATGAGCTACCTCTACTTTATTGTAAAAACTACATTAACAGAATCTTGCAAGCCTGAAAGCAAAAATCGCCCGCCATTGCCTTTTCAGCCTGAGAAGTTAAGGAGGGTCCCGATGGTGGGATTCAAATATTTTTATTACCGGTTCTGTGGGTGTGGCATGGTAGGCATGGCTTGGTGGGCATGGCAGGGGAAGGATACTGTAAAATTTCCATTCCCTGAGCTGGGACTCATAAGGCAGAGAATGAATGTGGGCGGGGCAAACCAGAAATGGTATTTACCGGTTCTCTGAACTACTCAAAATTTCCACTACCGGTTCTCCAGAACTGGTCAGAACCTGCTGAATACCACCTCTGGAGGATCCCTTCTGATTCTCTTTCTCTGTAATTTAGATGAGGGCTGTATCCTCTCTTATCTGATCATTTCCTAGGCAGCATCTCTTCATCCTCTTTCTGTGTCTCAAGGTCTTTCTCACACACCACTACACTTATATAAGCATGATGAGATGAGGGTTGGAAACTACATGTTATGTGTCTCATTATACAAAAGCTGCCATTATGCAAGTGTGTCATTGCACGATTACGTTATGAAATGTGTGATGGCATCAGATCATAGTTTCTGCTCGATGCATCTGACCAGCCCTTAAGAGGTTTAATTCTAATGCGTAGTTATTATATGATCCACATTGCATCTTTAATCTGGTTACTGAATTGTTCCCTTTTCTGGTTTGCACAGTCAGAAGCCAATTCAAAGGGCTGCGTTCCACATTACACGTGGACTCAAACAACTACAATAAAAACTTATCAAGTTCATCACGTTAATGTGTATGCAACTTTAATTGCTGAATAAAGAATTTGAAATTCCAGACACTAGGAAAAGATATTAACATCAGGGCCAAAATGTTCAGTTGATCCTGGATTATATCATATTTTACCCAAAACAATATTTTAGATTCCTTGGATCCCACTAAGTTTATATAGCAAAGGCTTGTGTAAATCATCAAGAGATAAAATTAGATTAATGCTTCATTTAAAGATATGTTTGCTCAGTCCTATAGTTGCTCAATTCTGGGAGAAACATATATTATCTCAACTTTCAAACTTGATGTAGTATTCTCAAAGGATTGAGTTCTTTTGAATTACATTCCTGATGCTTGGAAATTGATATCAGGACAGAGAAAGCAAATTCTCAGTGCCCTATTTTGTACTAAAAGATTTATTCTTCTTTGTTTGAAAAGTAAAACATATGGCCTCCAACTATCAGTTGTCTGCAGAAAGTGTGTGATTAGCAACTTAGGAAAAAAATCACTTTTCATTGAATGATGAATAGAATAGAATAGAATAGAATAGAATAGAATAGAATAAGAATAGAGTGGAGTGGAGTGGAATGGAATGGAATGGAACGGAACGGAACAGAATGGAACGGAAAGGAAAGGAGAAGAATAGACTAGACTAGACTAGACTAGACTAGACTAGACTAGAATAGAATAGAATAGAATAGAATAGAAGAAGAGTAGAGTGGAATGGAATGGAACGGAATGGAACAGAATGGAACAGAAAGGAAAGGAATGGAGTAGAATAGAATAGAATAGAATAGAATAGAATAGAATAGAATAGAATAGAATAGACCTTGGAGGTCTTCTAGTCCAGCCTCCTGCTCAAGCAGACAAGTACAATCTCAGACAAGTGATTGTCCAGTCTCTTCTTTAAAACCTCTAGTGTTGAAGCACCCACAATTTGTGAAGGCAAGTTGTTCCACTGGTTAATTGTCCTCACTGTTAGGAAGTTTCTCCTTAATTCCAGGTTGCTTCTCTCTCTTAATTAGTTTCCATCCATTGTTTCTTGTCCTGTCCTCTGGTGCTTTGGAGAATAATTTGACCCCCTCTTCTTTGTGGCAGCCCCTCAAATACTAAAATACTGCTATCATGTCACCCCTAATTCTTCTTTTCTTTAACTAGCCAAACTAAATGCTGCAGCTGTAACTGAAATTCTTATGTTCAATTTGTATATATATATACTTGTATAGGTCCTGTTTTTCCCCTTCCTTCCTTCCAAACTTCTTCCTCCCCTCCTTTTCTCTTCCTCCTCTGCCTTACTCTACCAGCCATCAAATCTTAAACTTATTACTGTAAAATTCAATTTCTGGAGAAAGCACTAGGAAATGAATGAGGTTACTAACTGAAGGCGAGCTGATTTAATTTTAGAGAAGGTTGGAAGAAATCATAATGGGAAATGAACTTTATCCCCATCGTCAATTCAATATAATTTTGGATTAGTACTTGTTTAAAACTTTGAAATCAGTGGGTGCAGCTATCTATTTTTTTAGGAGTGATTTTGAAGAAAAGACTTGGAGGAGGGAATCTACCAGCCACTGTTATATGTTCACTTTTTTTTACACTTGTTCATATTTACTGCAAATTAATTAACTAAAACTGAAGGGTTAGTAACGGAGTCAAAATTAACTAAATTCTAATTTGATCAAGGTTATTTTGGATGGGTCATTAGAGGTTAATCTCCTTGAAATTTAAATAAATCCTAGTAATTATGTCTAAATTGAAATTGACTGCTGTAAATGAGCCTATGCAGATTTGCATCTTCTAGCATGGGTGCACTTCAGATAAATATTTTATTTATTTATTATGAAGCTAAAGTATATATCTGGAAATATTTGAGCTGGAGATTAAAGAGGAAAGCATCTGAGATGCCACAGGAACCACAAGGCTGTAGCAAAAACCAAATCCATCTTTAAAGGTACTTTTTAAAAATGCAAACTAAACACTGTGGGAGTGTCTAAGTAGGTTTTTTTCAACACCTTCCATCTCCTGAAACTTGTTGGAAAGTTCTTTGGGGAGAAAGTTGGAATATCTTGTTCAAACAAGTTAACTTGGTCATTGAATTCATCAGTCCGGGTACCTAACGCTAACACAGCCTATGAAGTTCATACCACAGGTTAAGCCACAAAGAAAGAAGCAAACCTGTTAAAAATAACTAGATTAGCCTGTTGACTAAAAACAGGATGTGGGTTTGTAACGGAGCTGGTGAAAAGCACAGCACAGCTGAAAACCAAGTCACTCTCTGGAACTTACACAACTCTTAAAGCACAGGGCATCTTCCCAACTCAACTTCTCTCCGTTAAAAGCCACGAGAGCTTTAGAATTATAGAGAACAAATCTTTGTGCCAATGATTTCTTGATCCTTTAATCAGCAAGAAGAGAAGTTTCTTGGCTCCACCTTTTCCAGGGTTGACCGTGTCCCCCTTGATAATGATTCCAGCACTTAGCAGGGATTTGTGAACTCCAAAACCAGGATGTCAAACTGGAGTCTCCATCCCCAGGATGACAATCTAGCTCTGATTATAGGATACAAGCATAGTTTCTTCCTGGAATTGACTTGTTATTTGGGCAGCTAGCTAGACAGAGTAGGAAAATCGTGGTAGCTTGCATGTAGGAAGCGCTTCAGGATGGGGTGGAACATCATTTATTTATCATTTTTATTTATTTATAAATTTTATTTGCTGGCCATCTCGCATCCAACAACTCTGGGTGGAACACCATAGAAGATTATGCAAGCAACGTTAGAAACCAGGGGCATCTAGGTAAGGATGGGCACGGGTAAGCATCTATAAAGGTCTTGAATGGGGTGGAGGGGAGATATACTTTGCTAAAGAAAAAATCAATTTTTTCATGCACTGCGATTCATCTTGCTTCAACAATGGACAAGCAAGCCTATTGACTCCTGCTTTGGGCAATGGGGGGCTGGACTAAAAGACCTCAAAGGTCCCTCCCAGGCTGATGATTCTAGTGCTTCTTGTAAGTCAGAGAAAAAGAAAACAAGACAAGTGGGGAGAGGAAAAGGGAAGAGACATTTACTCTTTCCTTTACAGGGACCAGAGTGGATTGGCTGAAATCTGCTTTTGAATGTTATAAAAGTACAAGCTGAAGATGGGAGAGGATGGGAGAGACCTTGTTAATAAACCTTCTCCAGTCTGGCTAAGCATTCTGAAGCGGTGGGAGCAGCACCTGGGATGAGGCTGCGTTCCAAGGATCCTTGAACTTAGCAATCGCTTCCCATTTAGAAGCGGAGCAGTTTAGGATCTTCTAAAAGTACCTGGTGACAGCCTCAAAGGCAGCACTCTCATACCCAAGCAAAACTTTGCTGGCAAAACTTTGTTCTGCCTTATTTACCTGGCAGGTGTGGATGGATGCTTGGCTCAGCTAATCTATTCTGTATGGTCCTATCAAGAGCAAACGGCAAGCACTTTTTAATGGTCTTGGAAGAATTATTGCATAAGAATTTTCTGCACCCAACTCCAGTTCATCAGACAGATGGAGCACTGTCCTAAAACAGTTCATTTGATATACTTATCCAACATTGAACCAAGGAATGAAACAGGCATAAAGTTTTTGCTGTTATGTTTCTTTTTTTAAAATTTCTTAAATTACCACCATTCTCCACCCTCAAAAAAAAGTGTTCCTCTCCCAAGGTTTAAACTATACTGTGGTGACAGAATCTGACTTTGCATCTTCATTTGCGTGGGTACGAGTTACAAAGAGGAAAGACAAAAATAGAGACTGTGTTCTTGCAAGGCTTACCTGGCCCCTTAGCAATCTAAGGAACAACGTTCACACAAGCTAAGTTTGACTAGTGTGAACCTTGGTTAATTTCTTTAAGGTTTAGCAAGGGCAAGGGACTCAACAAATTTGGCTGGTTCGTTGCTGTTAAATCGGGCTTAGAAAATGGGTCAATTCGGTAAGCGGGTTCCCTGCCTTGTGTGAACAAAACCACCTTCTCCTTAACCACGGCCCTCTTAATAAGAGTTCAATGACTCAGACGTGCGGGGCAAGGGGAAGCATTGCGGGCAACCCAGAAGACAACCCAGGGACCGACCGGGATCCCCCTGAAACAAAGTTCTTGGACCAGGAGAAGGCAAGACAGGCCAGGCAGACTCACATGAAAGCGTGGTAGATGAACGCCCAGCCTCGGGGTCTTTCCAGCACGTTGTAGAGGCAGTTCTGAATGCGACGGTAGCGCTTCTGCGACGCGGACCGAGCTCCGGAGCCCCCGCGTGGGACCGGTAAGGGAGTCCCGAGGAGTCCCAGGCGCCTGGGGCTGCTGGATCCGGCGGCGGCGGGGGCTGAGGCGGTCGCCTCGCTCTTCTCAGTCTGCACGGCGGTCAGGGCTACGAATTCCACGCGCGGGGCTTCTCCGCCACCGCCGCTGCCACCGCTGCCGTGGACCGCGGACGGAGGCAGCCCGGAGCGGTCCCCGCCGAGAGCCCCGGCCATCGCGCTGGGCAGGAAAGGACGAGCGCGCTCACGGCATGGAGAGGGCTGAGTCCCGCAGCGGTTCAGCCCGGCATGAGGGGCTCCGCTGCGATCCTGCCTGCTGGCGCCAGCCCTCCGGAGCCCTCCTTCCCTGGGCAGGGAGGATGGAGAGGGAGCCTCACTCGCCGGGGCTCGGCAGGCGGACGGAACCTGGGACTTCGCCGCGGGATGCGCCCAGGGCGCACACGGGGGACTCTTGCCGAGCAGCCGGGCGTCCTCCTCCCTTTCCCCCGCCGGTTCTTTAAGCCACTCGGGAAAAAGCGTGGGGAGGAGAAGGGGGGGGTGAGAGAGGCAAGTTGGAGGGACGCGGATCTCTCTCCCTCCCCGCTTCCTCGGCTTGGATGCTGCTTCTCCGCCTACGCCCAAGTTTAGAAGAGTTGCCGGCTTCGCGCTGCGCTGCGCTTTGGAGAGCTGGGCAGTGCCAGGAGCGCGGCCGAAGAAAAGAGAGGCGGCAACAGCAGCAATTTCTGCCGCCGCCGCGGGCTCTTTCTCCTCCTTTTCCCTCGCCCCCCCTCCATCCTGCTGGCTTTCCCACCTGCCTTTTGCTTCCCCGGCTCACATGGCATCCTTCGCCCCCCTCCCACTCCCACCGTCACCCCACAACCCCCGCCTCGCCGGCTCGTCTTTCCGACTACGCTGAAGGGGCCGGGCGCCCAGCAGCCAGCCACGCCTGCCGCCGCCGCTGCCTTCCTTCTCCCGAGACGCGGCTGGAAGAAAGCGGGACTTTCAATAATAATAATAATAATAATAATAATAATAATAATAATAATAATAATAATAATAATAATAATAATAATAATAATAATAATAATAAAAGAT